ATTATTAATTATTATTTATTATTATTATTACTATTACTATTACTATTATTATTAATTATTATTATTATTATTATTATTATTAGTATTATTATCGATATATGTTGCATCTGTCGCGTCAACTCAATTACTGCAGTTAGTGCCATATACAACATGCCCTTAAGGGCCGAAATGGCTTACACAAGATAGGCCTACCTCTATAACCATAATACATATATATTATTATTATTATTATTATTATTATTATTATTATTATTATTATTATTATTATTATTTAATATTGACTTTAAACTGTTAATAATCTCTGCGCCACTTGTAATTGGTCCTTTTGGCGTTCCATAGAAACCTATTATTATTATTATTATTATTATTATTATTATTATTATTACTAGTAATACTATTTAATATTGTCTTTAAACGATTAATAATCTCTATACAGTTAAGCAAATTTTCCTCTTTTTTACTTCGATATACAGTAACTTTTTTAATGTTAGCATTCATTTATGCAATTGAATGTTTCGTTTGCAGGATCCCAATGGAAATACGCTTCTTTGAAACGTTTTTTGGCTATTCCTTGCTTTCAGAGTTTCCAAATTGTAATTTACTTAAACTTGTCTTGTCTTGTTTTTGTATTTTACTGTGATTGCTAAATAAATTTCAATATTAAATATAAAGTTTATTTCCACATCATCAATACAAAATACATAGACGGAGAAATACATAAGAAAAAAAAACAATAATTGATAAAATTCAAAAATCCAATCAAATCTAATAGGTACAATATATTTTAAGCGCAAATATGAATTTTCAGTAACTGAATGAATGATTCATTATATAAATAAATTAATGAAATCATTCATTAATGATTTGTCAATATAGCTATTGGTATAAACAGAATTTGAAAGTTAGTTATATTATGTTCTATCCACCAGTTCAACACATCTATATATTTATATGAAGAATGCTCTATTCTTGTTACAAATTTTATTTTAGATCTGACTCCACGACAATGGTACCCTTGGGGATACAGCATCTACCTGTTCAATACGAGGGGGCAAAAGTGTTCACATTCCCGTACTTCCTGTGAAGACGTTGGTGCCAATTTGGTGGTGATTGGTGACTCATCTGAGAATAGTTTCATAGGCTCAATGGTTTCGTCACTTGGTATGGGTGATATATGGATCGGGTTAAATGACATCAGCTCAGAGGGTACATATGTATGGCCTGATTCTGGGGAAACATCTACGTATACATGTGAGTTACATTGACATTATTTTTATTGTCTAATTATGTCAAATTTATTGCCTCTGAACTTTAGTTTGGCTTTCATCTTCACCCAGCCTATTAGATCGTTCTTGCTTGCTTGCTATACACGTTTGAAAAGATCCGGTTTTTTTACCCTCACTTACTTGCCACTGAGAAAAAAATAGTGTTGTCCTAAAGGTTCTAAGTCTGGCTCAACTCTCTACATAGGTCCAGCCATTGTTTCCCACCGCAAAATTGTTTTCAGTAGTTTGCCTTTAAATTATAGGCCTATATATAATATATATATGTATATATGCATTCAGATTGACTGCTAAAGTTCATAATTACAATTTGGTTTTAAAAGTACTGATTTATATAATTAGCATACATTCAAATTTTTATCTTCATAATACTGTAGATCTAATTAAAATGTTGCTAGCTGATATTATAGTTAAAAATATCCCTCTTTATCCGCTGTTTGAAATCTTTTTGTAAGATATTAAATACTTTGATGCTGTGGCCTGGCCAAATACAAAAATGGCGTACAACAAGATGTGTAATTCTCTGTGTACATTCAAACTCTATGTGTTGTATTTAAATCCCTCAAAAAACCAAGAACTTTAGGCAAATAGAACTTTGGATCTTTTGCTATTCTTCCTTCTTCCAGAATCTTAAAACAACCTAACATTACATTTACTTTATTTTAATATTGTGCAATATTTATAGCTATTATTCAAATTAAAAATTTTCACACTATAAACAATTTCATATGTATACCATGCGTTTAAAAAGGAGGTCTCTGGAGGGAATCGAATTAAATTAAATGAAATATGTTTGTTACTATTTATAACAACATATTCCTATATATTTGAGTAACTGTATTATTACTATTTGATATATTTAAATTTAAATTTATTCAAAAACCTCTATAACGGAGACTTAAAAAAATAAAACGAACATTCACTTAGGAGAATCGACACATCATATGCACATAAAAAAACATCAAAGTACAAATATATATTATATATATATTTATTTATATAGAGTATGTACATATAGTATGTATATATATAGTATATATATATACATACATATATATATATATATATATACATGTATGTATGTATGTATTTCAATTTGTGTTTGTATTTAGGCACACTTTATTCAAAAATTGAATACACGGCCACATGGCCCAACAGGTAAAACATAACTGGCACGCAAACCAGAGTTACCATGAAAAAATCTTGAGGAACATGCAACGGAGTTTAATCACTTATGTATGTACTTATGTATTTATGTATTTAAATAGGTAAATGGGAAAACCCATGAAAGCAGCAAACGGCCACATAATGCAAAACAATATAAAATTCAAACGGAACAGTAGAGAAAATCCGACCAGAATGACAAAATAAACTAAGCATCCACTGGAAGAAATCCCAATATCTGCAGAGGGATCCGTTTCGGCCTTTCCTCATCAGTGCAGCTAGGGTACAGCCCCAGCTGCAGACCAGCTTAGGCAGAGCCCAGACTGACGATTACAGAGTCAAACCAAGGCAATATACATACACAGCCCAGGTGTGAATGTAAATAGTAGAACACAAGCTATGCGGCTCAGTTCCAGTAGATACAGAGAATATTCGAAATTCTTACAGACAGACAGCACTAGTCCGTGAATTTGTGAACAAGATCGAATAGCTATGCAATCTCTACCGTGCATCAATGGCGGTCCACTGGATCTCAGTTCCTTAATAATATTTATACTGAATATGCAAAGCTTCTAAATTTTGAGAATTTGTGTTGTAGAGGCGGAGTCCAGTATGGTGAAGCAGTCCTCATTGGCTAAATGTTTACAATGACATGAACTTTTCAAATTCTTTAATATGATGCGAGTTTCCATCCAGTGTTAGGTGCTCACACATGCGCGTGGAGAAATGTCGGCTGGTCTTGCCAACGTAGCAAGCATTACAGCCTGCACATACAAATATGTAAACGACATGCGAACGGAGACCAATAGGAACGGGATCTTTAGCTGAATCATTTTTTTTTAATTATTTTAAATGAGGAAAAGACAATTTTTAAAATTAGGTAATTACAAAATTCATTTGATAAGGCACGGATATTCTTGCTAACTACTTCGGACAATGTGCCAACATAGTAATTTGAATTAAAAAGTGATCGGTGTATTTTCTAATGTTTTCCAGTTTACTTTTACTTTTACATTCAACTGAATAACAAAAAATAATTTGATAAATAATGAATGAAAAAAAACATTTTTCGTGGATAGTAG